TAGTATGTGTTTCTTTTAAAGTTGTACGCCGCCCTGAGTCCTTGGGAGAAGGGCGGCATATAAATCGAATAAACCTGAAACCTCAAACCTCAAACCTCAAATGGTGATCACAGGTGGACCCCATGGACTCTGCAGCTGTCAGACGTTCATGTGGGTTGCCAAGTGCCCAATCTTGCTCCGGTGGCTGTGGGGAAACTGCAAAGGTTGCCGGTGGAAGGAGCAGTCCTAGGAACATTTTCTGTGCAACTGTAACTCGGAATGGTTGCTAATGTGATTCAATGTAAGCCGAGGGCTGCCTGTTCCCTATCCTCACCCTGCCTCCTTGCAGACAGCCCCTCCGCTCCGGTCAACGTCACAGTGAAGCTTCTGAAGGCCAACTCAGCTGTGGTGACCTGGGATGTTTTGGAAGAAGAAGTGGTCATCGGCTTTGCAATTTCGCAGCAGGTAAGCTTCTCCCGAGTTTCCTCTTCATTCTTGGGATGAATTTGGAATTCACCTTAACTGTCTTCAGCAATCCCCGCAAGATGATGGGAAAGGAGGATAGGCCAAGAAGTCCCAGATCTCTGATGGTGGAAGTACTGTTTGTTACGGCTCATGCTAGTTCAAAGGGCCATATTGATTTTTAGGTTTTTATCTGTATTAAAGGAAGTTGAAAGTTATTTTTTTTCTTTTGCTCTGCATGCCTGAATTTTGCTTTTTCCTTACCCTTCCACCTTTCTTTTTAATTCTCCTTTCTTTGCTTTTTTTGTATTTTATACTTTGGAAGTTTAATAATATTTTTCAGAAAAAGGAAAAGGAAAAGCCAGATTTCTCATTGAACATAATTAGGTTGAGGCAGTTCTTCTTGTGCCTGAAAAGCAATATACCCAAGAATCTGGGAGATCCTTGGGGCTCTCTGAGCTTGGTTGCTTTCTTGTAGATGCTTCATTACCCAACTAGGTAACATCTATAGAGCACTGATGATGTTATCTGGTTGGTAATGAAATGTCTGCAAGAAAATGACCAACCTTAGAGAGCACTGTTTGTTTCAGAGCCTTTCTCTCATCGTTTAGGTCTGGGGACAAATTTTGGAGCTACGACTTCTAGGGCAGTGTTTCTCAACCTTGACTAAAACATGTGGACTTCAATTCCTAAAATTCCCATGGGTGGCTGGAGAATTCTGGGAATTGAAGTCCACAAGTCTTAAAGCTGACAAGATGAAGAATCCCTGCTGTAGGCACGAGAGGAAAGACATCTTCTCTCTGGCTCCTTACATGGGATTGGGAGATGCAACCAGCCATCAGTTGGGAATCTTTCCCACCCTTTCCACAGCCTGTTTGTCATCCTTCTCTCTGCAGAAGAAGGACGTACGGATGCTGCGTTTCATCCAGGAAGTGAACACTACCACCCGCTCGTGCTCCCTCTGGGACCTGGAGGAGGACACCGAGTACATTGTGCACGTCCAGTCCATCAGCATCCAAGGCCAGAGTCCAGCCAGTGAGCCCATCCACTTCAAGACCCCACGAGAGGCAGAGAAATTGGCTTCAAAGAATAAAGGCAAGCAGAAGGGGGGCTGAGGTAGGGCAAGCTTGGCAAAGTTGTGGTCAACCAAGAGGAAGGCAGGAGGAGCCTCAAGCAATACACACCTCACTTTTGTTCATCTTCTTAAGAATTCTGCATGTGTCCATATTTCATATATTTTGACCTATATTTAATGATCTTTCCATTATCATATTCAATCAGTTAGCAACTCAGATTAATTATCATGTAAAAGAGTAAATCACATATCTCTACTTTATATTCTCCACATAACAATTTCTAAATATCTGATTTCTTCCTAGTAAGACTTTTATCCCAAATTCTAAATTGCTTTTTCTTTCTACTGGTTTTTTTTTTCTTCTCCACCCACTGCTGCATCTTTTGGCATATCCTCTGTCTCCCTGCCTTCTCTTCCTCTTTTCTCTTATCACTCCTTTTTTCTTCTCTTTCTTCTCTATTCCTGTCTCTTCCCTTTTCTTAAGGTGACCAGATTTTCAGATTGGTAAAGAGGGACACCTTTGACCGGGGGGGGGGGATGGGCTTGATTAAAAATTTTATACGGAGCAACAATATAACACAAAATAGTATTGTAATATTTTTTTTATTTCAACATAACTACAATTTACAAATATAAATTGTAACTGTTGCCAAACATCAACATTTTGATCGCGTG